TCGGGTCGGCGCTGCCTCCCTTGCCATTCCTCGGGGCCCGTTGGCCGCGGCCTCGTGCGCCATTGAATTCCGGGGCCCGACTCATGGGCCGCAAGTCTTGGCAGGTGATGGTTCGCTAACTCCCAAGACCTGGTTCTCCCATTTCCGCCCCAAAAACTGATAGTGATAGTGGGTTGTGCGCTCTTCAACACTGGTTGTGGCAACCAGTGCTGAGCGGACGTTCACGGGTGTCGAATCCACATGTGCACAATGACTTACAGACAGCACGGTCAGAAACACCATGATGACATTCGGAATGCAGATCCAACGAAGCTCAAGGTGGATGCCCAGAATTATTTTTACGATGGCATGATGCACGATGGAGTGCGATGAAGAGCACAAGCCATACAAGCTGCCACTTGCTCTTGTTTCGGCATTGGCTGTACATAGTGAGGATATGCAGCTTGGGTTGAACACCCTCAACGAGATCGCGCTGAAGGGTAAAACGGCGATGGCGAGCACGATTGCGCAGGAGAGAGTTCTAGCAGTACTCAAGCACTTGACATGGCAAGTGCAAGCGCGAGCAGCAAAGGAAAAGGCGACACGAAATGGTATGCACAACGACGTTGCGACACGATACGTTTTTTTTTACAACAGGCGGCTAGGTCCGAAAAGGATGCTGGTTTCGAGGGTTACACGTTAAAAGTATTGGGAGGTCTTGCTGCGATGGTAACGTACACCTCCCCTTTAACACCGTATAGTTGGTTATCTCCTTCCACGGCACATGTTTGGTCGGCGGTGGCGGCGAGGCCGAACTTTACCATTGCTTGCGTCAAGTTCTTGGTGGCCCGTCTCCACGTCTACACCACGGGCCATAATGTTTTGCCGTCTTAGAGCTGCATTAACTGTCGATATCACTTCCTCGCGAGCCATTCTTCTCCATTCTCATCCTCCTGCCCCTCCCCCTCTTCTCTCTTTAGTACCTCGCGTTTCTAATGCTGAGGCTTAGATGGCAAATCAGTATTATCCCCCCGGTGCCCCGAACTCATTCATCTCTGGGGCACGATTGCCAGGGGCGCTTGGTCACTCTCCTTGAGGGTGGCGCACTGGATTATATGATCAGGTGGGAGGAAGGCTCTTGCACTTACCCTCGCAGCGCCACCGCCGCCACCACCCCCGCCGCCACCCCCTGCCACCTGATCACCATGCACCCACTAAAACAAAATATCGACAAGGGTGCCGGCAGTGCCGAGCCAGTTCCAGCATGTGAGAAACTCACGGTTCGTACTTCTACGCCTACCGCTGATGGTCTCCACATACGCTGCAGTGCGCCGATTGACGCCAATAAGACAGTCATGGATGTCGCAAAGGCTAAATGTGGAGTCAACCAGCTGGGCCACCAAAGCCGAGGTCAGGACTAGGCTAGAATGGCTGCAGCAAGGTTTGTGGCAGGACGACCGTTGTCAGCGCAGTCCAGTCCGTAAGCATCGACGCCACCATCGACCACGTCAGTTACGTTGCAGTATCGTGAGGAAGTGGCGAAAACGCACGACCTGACGTTCAGACTGGCTAGCTTTACATACAGCCGCAGAGGTCAGGTGCGGAATCGCATCATCATAATTTGGGATTGTAGCATTGCAGAAACCAGCTCAGGCACACCAGACATGAGGCAGACGTTAGAACAGCTCACGAGCAACAGCGGATGTCGGCCGAGATTTTGGGGCACTGAGCTCATGCCGATTCGCAATGCGCCAAGATGATCCAGCACCGCGAGGCAGAAATCAGTAGGCACGACACGGTTGAACGTGAAACAGCAAAAATATCAATATGCAGCGAGTTTCAGGAGGTGCAGATGGCCAAGGATCAAGCTCGATCGTTGGTTGACGCTCTCGCAGCCAGACGGGTACAACCTGACAAGGAGTGCCAGGTCACGAGTACAAGTGCGGAGTGGCCGTCAAGGGCCAAGCGTTTTGAGGTCCAGCAGATGGAGGCCAGGTACCACGAGCTGGCTATTCAGTGGGCTTTGGTGGAAGCAGTGGCACGGGTCGAAAGAAACCCAGGCGCCGCCCAGGAGGCCCCACAGCACTGCCTGGCACCGCCCCTGCCGAGCTGCTACCAGCGAGTCTTTGCAGCTGGGGCCTCGGGCGCGGCTCGCCGCATCGGCCTCGCCTTGTCTCCTCCCTCCCAGCACCGCTGTACAGTGCCGTTTTTAATACATGCCCCGCGTGCGGATCACGTATTAAAAATGCTCTAGTGTTAAAAAGGATGAATTCATGCATGAAGTTATTCATAAATTAGTCATGTTTTTAAGAATGGTATTATTAAAAATTGCCCTGTAGTGTCTGCATCCCCCCTCGCCGCCCCGAAGCTCTTCGCCTGCCGCGCCGTGCCCGTGCCCTCCGGGGGCTTCGCGCGCACGCGTGGACCCTCTGAGGCCATCGGCGCGGCAGCTCGACGCGGCATCACCGACCTGCGCCGAGAGGGCGTCGGCTTGAGAGTAGGGGAACAAAAAGTGACATAGACATAAAACCTCGGAGGTCCGCGCGGATTTCTTGGATCGGCGCTGGGGCCCCCTGGCGGCGCCTCCGGCGCCGCCCCTGGCGCGCTCCGCGCGCCAGAGAGGGGGATCCAGCGCCGATCTGAGAAATCCGCGCGGACCTCCGAGTTTTTATGTTGTCACATTTTGTTCCCCTAGATGGGGGTCGGTGTCGTCCGTGGGGTTGGCTGCCGCGGGCCCGGCCCGTGCCTGCTGTGCAGCGCCGAGATTCCGGTTCTCTCCCGCTCCGCCTGCCATCAGCCTCTTGCCCTGTGTTCTGCCCTCTGTGCTCTGCTGCCCCTTGCCGTAATGTCTGTGTTGTCGCTTGCGTGTCGGCTGCGTGTCGGCCATTTCTTGGGCTCTCTAGCTCCGACCTCCAGCGCCTGCCTTGCGCACGTTTGCTCGCATAGCTCGGCCTCGTCGGCCAGGGCGACGCGGCAGGCCAGCGGTTACCCGCCTGCTCGAGCGACCGCTCCCGCTCTCTCGCCTCGCCGTCCTTCTCGGGGCTGTGTTGGTGGAGGTGGACGGGGGGGGGGCTTGCAAGGTCTAGGAAGTGAGGGGGTTGTCCACCATCCCATCAGCGTTTCCCGAGCTCTGCGCTTCGGAGGGCATCAACTATACACCAACACCGATCCTGGCCCAGGATCACCCTGGGCCCAGGATCGGTGCATATGCCTTCTTGCCCAAGGCAGGAGGGCGTATACGCCGATCCTGGGCCCAGGGTGATCCTGGCCAGGATCGGTGTTGGTGTATAGCTGGTGCCTTCCTAGCGCTGCCTGCCCGATGCCAGGTGCCTGTCTCATGTTCGGTCGGCGCGCGCACCGGTCGAGCCCAAAACGCCACGGGCGCGGAGCGCGCCCGGCAGCCTGCGTCAAGGAAGGACGAGGCGGAGGAGGAGGGCGAGGAGGAGGAGGAGAAGGAAGAGGAGGAGGAGGACCAGAGGAGAAGGAAAAAACACAGGAGGAGGAGGAGGAGGAGGAGGAGGAGGAGGAGGAGGAGGAGGAGGAGGAGGAGGTGGAGGAGGAGGAGGAGGAGGAGGGGGGGGAGGGAGGAGGGGAGGACGAGGGCGAGGAGGGAGGAAGGGAGGAGGGGAGGAGGAGGAGGAGGAGGAGGAGGAGGAGGAGGAAGGAGGAGGAGGGGAGGAGGAGGGGAGGACGAGGGAGGACGAGGGGAAGGAGGGGAGGAGGGAATGAGGGTGGAGGGAGGGAGGGAGGAGGGGTGAGGAGGAGGAGGAGGAGGAGGAGGAGGAGGAGGAGGAGGAGGAGGAGGAGGAGGAGGAGGAGGAGGAGGAGGAGGGAGGATGGAGGAGAGGAGGAGGGAGGAGGGAGGAGGGAGGAGGAGGAGAAGGAGGAGGATGACGAGGAGGAGGATGACGAGGAGGAGGACCCTGGCATCCTCGCGTCGTGAAAAGAACACGACTGTGGATTCTCATTTTCTCCATTCTCGGCACCCTGAGTTCCCCAGGCAGCAGGGCCGTGAACAAAAGACGACTCAGGATGAAAAGCCCCTGGGAGTGAGTCTATGCCTGATGCGGAACGTCCTGGGGGTCTCGCGCGGCGCGCAAGAGTCTTACCATCCAATCCGCACGTCTGCCCCGTGAGATATGGGGCGACGTTGACGCGGCGATGCTCCGAAATCCGACGTGAGCTTCACGCAAAGTCGACCTCCCCGATTACATCCGGCCTGCATTCAACGTATCTTGGATCTCAACTTGCCGCGCGAGGCCTCCAGGATGTCCCTCATGAGATACCATTGGGGGTCGACGCTTCGAACAAGTCGCGACGTCGGGTGCCTGGGTATACACCTGCACCGGCCTTCGCCCAGGCCGACCCACGGTCCAGGGCGTTGGTATGCTGCCTCTCTGCCGGAACTGGGAGGGCGTGTCTACCGGTCCTGGCCCCGCCTTCTCCGGCCGCCTGAGGCCCCGCCCGCTTGCGCCCTGTCTCCCCAATTAGAGCTGTGCGTAGCCCGCCTAGCTTTTAGCTGAAGAGGTTCGCTCTCGCCCCGCCGACCCGTGTATGCTGCCTCTCTGCCGGAGCCGGGAGGGCGTGTCTACGGGTCCTGGGCCCTCAGGATGAGCCTGGCCAGGGTTTGTGTACCTTGAGGTCCGACGTCGTGATTTTTCCGCAACGTGGCCCCCCCAGAGGTCTCGGGGGCGGAAAAGAGGGGGGTGACGACTAGGGGGGGGATATCATGGCGGGGGCCATGATTTTTCCCCAGATTTCATGGCGCCTCTTCTTATTTCATTGCGCCCCTGGCCTCCCCGCTGGGCCGCGCACATGCCGCCGGTCATGATTTGCACCCCCCCTCTTGGACACCCCCCTCTTGGCCGCTCCCGAGTACCCAAAGGTCCGACGTCGTGACCTGTTCCGCAACGTGGCCCCCCCAGAGGTCTGAACCCCTTCGCCCTGGGGCCGGTTTCACTTCCCAGGTCCTTTTTTGGGAGGGGGGGGGGGTCTGGTTGCGCAGTTGGCGTCCTCCCGAGGCGCAGCAGGCCACGCGGCCCGCCCTCATGAGCTGGGACGACATGTCGGCGGCCGACTTCGAGGCCCTCCAGCGGGAGGTCGTGGGCAGCCTGCAGTCGGAGAGGTTCCAGGCGCGCCTCGCGCGCCTCGCCTCGGAGCACGACGGGTGCAGGCGGGGGCCTCTCTCCAGCGTCTCCTCCGCCTCACGCCCCTCCTTCTTTTGCTCGTCGTCGTCGTCCTCGTCGTCGTCGTCGTCGTCGTCGTCGTCGTCGTCGTCGTGCTGCTCCTCCTCCTCCTCCTCCTCCTCCTCCTCCTCCTCCTCCTCCTCGTACTTTCCCTCCTCCCTCCCCTGCTCCTCCTGGAGGGGGATTCCTCAGCCTGCCCCAGCAGACGCTAGTGCCGCCAGCTCAGCGCCCCCTGCTCAGGACGAGCTGGCCCCCGACCTGGATCCTCCGAGCCTTCGGGGATCTGGCCGATTGTGTGTTCGATGTGGTCGGGAAAGCGCTCCGATCGAAAAAGTTCTCCCCTTTCGAAAGGGTGCCTTAGGGCGTTGGTGTGCAATGCGATCTGGACAAACTCGCGAGCCAGGAGGGCCGCCTGTCAGGCACCCAAGTATTGCCTCTTCTGTGGGAGTGCGAGGCCTGCTGGGAGGAGAGGCAGGAACTTGTGGGCCAGGACATGATCAGGTGGGCTCGTGAGGCTATTGGAGATCCCAATGAAGAGCTCGTTACTGGCCGTCCTTCTCACCGCCACGTCTGTCGCCACACTCCCGTGCGCGGCCGTGGGGGTGGAGGGCACGTTCCGGAGGATGCTCCCCCTTCGGTGACGGCTGCGCAGGCGATGCCGCTCTTCTTGTCTCCGCGGTTGCTCTGGGCTCGCGTGGCGGGTTCGACCTGGGGCGTTGTGTCGCCCTGCTTGGCGGCTCTGGCCACGCCGCCTGCCCCGGACCTCGGGCCGTGGAGTTCCGTCGGGCAGGCGCTGCTGGCCGTGTCTTTCGCTGCCTCGTGCAGTCCTCGTCCCCCCTGCTGCACGGCCGTGGGGTGAGTTTTCTCCCCTGCGGCGACCGCTGCTCGGGGGGCCGCCCCTTTCTGTTTTCGAGTGCGCGTCGGGGTACGGGGGAGGCCGTTGCGGTCCTCCCTGACCGCGCGCCCTGCCGTTGCGAGTGGGACTCTCTTCGGGCACTGTCGTGTACAGCCGACGCTGCCCAGTGGTCCCGCGGCACGGGCATTCAGGCGACTCAGACGAACCTCTCTTGTAGGTCAGTCTGTCTGAGTCGCTCTCCAGACAGAGTGGTGGAAGGGCCTTTTGCTGAGGGTCTGCAGTGGTTGATGTCAAACAAATCCTCCTCCTCCTCCTCCTCCTCCTCCTTTCTTATCCTCCTCCTCCTCCTCCTCCTTTCTCATCCTCCTTCCTGTCTCCTCCTCGTCCTCCTCCTCCACCTCCCTATCCTCTTCCTCCTCCTCCTCCTCCTCCTCCTCTTCCTCCTCTCCTCTCCTCTTCCTCCTCCTCCTCCTCCTCGTCCTTCTCCTCCCCCTCCTCCTCCTCCTCCTCCTCCTCCTCCTCGTCCATCCCTGTCTTGATATATATATATATATAACGTGTGCACCCCGAGACGTGCCGGTAGGGTGGGCCAGGCGCTCCGCTGGACCGTTTATGATCTGGAAGCTTGGAGTTCGCAAGAGCTTCTCAGATGAAGGGCATGGTTTTCAAAATGTGGTTCCCGCAATAGCGCCGCGCGCATTCGTTGCAACACTTTGCAAGAGCTTCACGGATGGAGTGGTTTTCAAAATGTAGTTCTCGCCTTGGCGCCGCGCGCATTCGTATTCGTTTGAAATTTAGCAAGAGTTTCACTGATGGAGGGCAGGTGGGTTTCAAAATGTGGTTTTCGCGTTAACTCCGCGCACGTCAGTTTTGAAGTTTGCGAGAGCTTCACTGGTGGAGGGCGGTTATTTGATCAATGTTGTTCTCGCCCTAGCGCCGCGCGCATTCGTTGTAAGAGTCTGCCAGAGCTTCGCGGATGGAGGGCGGCTTATTTTCAAAATGTGGTTCTCGTTTTAGCGAGCGCGGACTCGTATCAAAAGTTTACAACTGTTTTATAGATGTTTTAATTGGCGCATTCCGGCACGATTTAGATTGTCAGGGCGCAGCGGTCTTGTTGAAGTCCCAAGACTGGTGGTCTGGCACGTCTCAGGACCGTCAGGACGTGAGTGTAAATGTTGATTCGCGGCGCTGAAGTCCCAGGAATGACGTTTTGGCACGCTTGGGGATTTTCAGACGGTTGTCTTCAAACGGGGCACTTCCCGCAGTGAACATAGATTTCGGTAGGGGCCCATGAAGAGGGATTTGTGCGGAAGGGTTTATTGCAACATCGTTGATGCGTCTTGGGTTTACACTGGACCTCCTCCTCCTCCTCCTCCTCATCCGTCTCCATCCTTCTCCCCCGTGCGCTTCACGGCAGAGCCACAATTTTGTTCGGGGGAGTGCAATGGGCCAATCGGCCACGCGCGCTCCCTTTTTGGGGTGCTCATTTCATTGTTCGATTTGGCCCGCCCGCGAGTCACGACGGCCTGTTTGGACCAAATCGGGTCCCACAGGCGTGCCTTCGGTATGCCTTTATAATCGCCAGCAGGGCCATCTTATTTCACCGTAAGTGGGTTCACCCCTGCTTTGAGGACACAGCTGCCAGGGCATCGCTCGCTCGATCCTCCTCCCCCTCCTCTTCCCCCTCCTCTTACTCCTCCTCTCTCTTCCTCCTCCTCCTCCTCCTCCTCCTCCTCCTCCTCCTCCTCCTTCCTCGTTGTCCTCCCTCTCCGCAGAGTCGGGGGTCGAACCCCGAAAAAGCGCCCCAGACCCGACGGCCCCAGTGGCGAAGCCCGCAAAAGCCCGCAGGCCCAGACGTGCTCGCGGCGTGAGCAGCGCCGCGACCGCGGGCTCTTGGCCGTCTTGGGGCCTTCGGAGGCGGCCCTCGCCGGGTCCCGGGAGCGCAAGAGGCGACCCGGGAGGGAGACCGGGCTGGGGGGCCGCACTCCCGAGCCCGCCGGTCGTGAGGGGGTCGGGATCCTTTTTTGTTCTTTTTAGTTTGTTTTTTTTGTTTGCACTCTTATTTTCTTCACTTTCTTTTTTTCTTTTTTTTTTTTTTCCGCCGCCGATGTGGACTCCGTCCGCCCCGACGTGCATTGACCAGATGAAGTCTTTCGGCAATTGTCTGGAGCGGTTTCCGCCTGCTACCTCCCTCCTCTTCTCTGCCTACTTCATAGCTCGCGCGGGCCCCCCCCCTTCGCCTTTTCTTCTTAGCTTTTCTTTCGACCGGGGAAGAAAAGAGGTGCGCTCTCGACCCGCGGACCAAAAATGTCTGGAAAGCCGTGTTGCGGGTGCCAGCAGAAGAGGAGTTGCCAGCAGCAGAAGAACAAAAACCCAAAAGCATAAACATTTCTTTTGAGATCCGCGCGGGTTTCTCGGATCTGCGCTGGCCCCCCATGGCGGCGCCTCCGGCGCCGCCCCTGGCGCGCTCTGCGCGCCAGGGAGGGGGGCCCATCGCAGATCCAAGCAAGTCGCGCAGAGATACGACAGTTTATGGTGAGAGCGCTATCTTCATCCACGCTAGGCAACCAAACGGCGAAACCCGAAGATATTGGCAGAGGCCACGCCCGAAAACACGACCTGGCACCCCAAAATTAGCCGCGGCGAGAGCGGCTTAAAGCACTGTGGTGCCGTCGGGGCGCCTGCCACAGGGCGGTTGGGCAGTTGATGCCCCTACTGTGGCACACTTTCCAGCCGCCCTGGGCCAGGCGGCACAGATGGCGGAACTGTTCATGCTAACGCTGCTCCTCGCCCGCTGAGAAGACTCGAGCGGTGGCGAAGCGTCCTGGCGTGCCTACACCTACCAAACGGTGTTCTAAGGACCTCTTGTGGCTCCCACGTCCCGGTCGGTCCCTGCGCAACCGATGGCGGAACGGTTTATGCTACGCCGCGCCTGGCCCGCCGAGAAGACGGAGTTGGTCGCTCCCCGCAACCTCCTCTTCCTCCTCCTCCTCCTCCCCTACTCCTACCTCCTCCTCTCCCTCCCTCCTCCCTTCCTTCCTCCTCCTCCTCCTCCTGCCCGCCTCTCTCCTCCTCCCCCTCCTCCTCTCTCTCACTCCTCTCCCCATCCTCCTCCTCCAACCGCCCCTCCTTCTCCTCCTCCTCCTCCTCCTATCCCCACCACCCCCCCCCCGCAGGAAGGTCCTACTCTCATCGCGCGTGCGACCCGTCGTGGTCCGCGGCCACGCGTGGAGGCGCTTCACCCGCTGCGGCCTCCTGCGGTTGCACTGGAGACGCGGGCCCGAGGCGACCTCCCCGGTCCGGAGAGATCGGGGGGTTGACAGGCCTCTCCTCCTCCTCCTCCTCCTTTATACTCATTCCTTCCTCCCTCAATCATCCTCCTCCTCCTACCTCCTCTCCCTCCTCCTCCCCCTCCTCCTCCTCCTCCTCCTCCTCGATGTTCTACGGCTTGGATGGTCTACGGCTGCGGCCTCCCGCCCCAGCACGCCGATGAAGGGATTGGCTGTGTTCGGTTCGTCGCGGCTGTCGTTTGTTGTGGGTCCAGGTCCGCCGGTTTCGGTCCTGGGCCGTTTTCGCTGAGGGGAGATGTGCTACAGGGAGGTCTGTCCACCGCCGAGGACCGCGGTGAGCCCGGAGGTGCACGGGAGTGCCCTTCAGGGAGGGGGATCCAGCGCGAATCCAAGAAGTCCGCGCGGAAGCGCCAAGAGTTTTTGTGCTTATGTGCTTGTTTCTTCGTCTGCTCCATCTTGCCTTGGCCGCCTTCTTCTATCTGCCCCTGGCCCTGTTCCAGAACGCCATGAAGTCGCCCGCCTTGAACACCTGTCGCACGTGGCCTGGCATCCAGCGCCACGCGCATCGCCTGGTCATCCTCCAGCGCCACGGTTCCTGCTCGTGGGCCTCTTTGGGGGCCGTCTGGGCGGCTCTTCCTGGGCCGTCTCGGGCCCCTCTTGGGGCCGTCTTGTGACCCTCTTGGCCCGTCTTGGGGCGGTCTCGGGGGTCTTTGGGGCCGTCTTGGGGCGGTCTTGGAGGCCTCCTGGGACGACGTGGAGCGTCGGAAGCTCGAAAGTCGAGAATCCCAAGAACATTAAAAAAACAAAGGTACGTAAGTCAATGGTTTTTGCCGCTTGGGGC